TCTAACCCAAATTGGAATTAGTATTTAAGTTGTGTTTACTGTACCTTAAATCAAACTTGGATTACCGGTTACTTTAATTTTTTGTGCTTCTGGAAAATTCTCTAAAAGGTTACTCATTGATTTGATAATGCACGTTGAATAGGGGCTATAGCGATAGACAATAATAACAATAAGAAATTTTAATAAAATAACGATATTAAAGGGTTCTTCCATCAAAAAGTGAATTACTCCAGTTAAAGTTTGAATGAATTGCCGTGTTTAAATAATTCAATAATGAATTATGGCTCCAATACAAAAAAGAATAATATAGATTTAAATGTAAGGGATAGAATTACCCACACACCAAATCGACCCAAAATTATAAATCGCATGACTCGGCACCGTTTCTAAATACGTACGTAGGTAGATGCCCATTTTACAACAATCTAATAGAATGGCAAAATGGCGTCGAATTATTAAATGCATGTGAATCACACATATTATATCGATATTTTTAAACATGTTCTAAAAATTTTCTTATATCTCTATATTTAGAAGCCAAGATAGTTTTTCTCCTATGTACATTGTTGAAAAGACCTTTCTCATAGTATGCGTGAAGACTGGCGAATATATTTTTTTTTTGGTGAATTAGAAACTGGAATAATTATAATGTTATGTGATGCGTTGTGCAGAATATCAATTTGTGACACTAAATTTTGTATGAACGCTAGCCAAATATTGAGATCGCCCTTATTGTTTTTTGTTTTTATTGTGATTTTCGGCAAAACAATATCCGTCAAATTTCAAACCGACAAATTTCTTTAAAGTTCATTTATGTTAGTGTTTATATGAGGGTTTGATAGAGATGTATAGTAAAAAATTGCTCACTGATGACTTTTTGTTAGAGCACAAAGGGATCTCTCTTAAGCAAATTTTTGAAAAATAGGTGATTTATTGACAAAACGAACGTTTTGATTGTGTTAGTTACGTTTCACCTGTTCTCTGATCTCAAAATAAAATTGATTATGCTGCAGTTTGATCATGTGAAAATGGAACCTTAATGGCGATATAATATTACAGCGTTAATGCAATTCTACATAATCATTACATAATCATCGTCACATTTGGTCAGGTGATCAGCACTTTTGGGTCGCTTTGGCTAATTCGAGGCCGGCGGTATTATTCACCGAAAATCCCGGTAATGAATGGTATAATTATGTAGAGAAGTTTCGTTATACTGATTGCCGCCAAATCATCGGGGGTTCAAGTTTATTGCCAAATTTAAACTCCGATGACAAGATTTCCTTGGCGACACGCATATAACGTTAAAGTCAACTCACGTACGTACGTACATATATAAAATCAAATACAGTACGTAGTTTTCATACTGCGTAACTGCACATCACATAATACCAAGTTTTGATCAATCGTTGATATCTACTAATAAAAAATTCGTCTCAAAGCATGGTTTTGCTGTGTACCAACCCATAATGACAATTGTGCAGGCCCAACATTTTTAATTACATTTTAAGAACACCCGACCCGACTTACATTCAATTCGTTAAAGGGATTTGTTAATGTTCCAAGATTCCATAAACTAAGTGTTTTCTAACGTCAAGTAACAATCTCTTGCAGTCTAATAGTTGTATTTAGTGATTTGAACCGAGAAAAATTCTTAATCGGTTAACAGAACCGAATTATTTCATTCAACCGATTACCGAGGGGAGCATCCTCATGCATCGCGAATACAAAGTAAATTTCCGACTATATTATATAATTGGAAATTTTACTTTGTATTCGCAACGCAGGAAGATGCTCTCCTCATGCAAATCCGGGTTGCACTTGACGCACATCACGAGGTAGGGCAACTGTTAAAAATCGATAAAAATCTCTGCTGATCTAATTGCATTAAACCTGCGTCACTTAAAGGTTAACAATTTCAGAGAGCTTAACCAATAAAATAAGGCCTTGTCGATTATTAGTCTTCGAAAATTTCTGATATTTTTTTTTAGATCGTATTTTCTCCGGAATAATGTAAATTTCGGGAAAAAATACGTAACTTTATAGATCTTATTCCTGGCTACAAAGCTATGTATTGTTTTTTGCAAATTTTTAAATACTCGTTGAGTTACAATTTTGGATGTTTTTATTATTTGCACCATAATTAATTAGCTCAATTTGCTCGCACTACTAATATGCTAGTTACAGTAATTTGGTACATGAACATTCCTATTATCAGTTATTGTGAATATTACTTCAGGGCCTCGAGAACTCTATTTTACTGCTAAAGAATTCAAAGATTTCATTGATCGCTGCAGTTATTTATTACTTAATCAATGAGATTAGAAACACAAAGATTTGAATAAATAATTTATTTTTTTTTAAGCTAATACATAGATATTTTAATTTATTACAGTAGATTTACAGATTAAATAAATAAAGATTCGGATACGGATACTATACATTAATGACTTCTTTAAATAAATAATGTTCATTATATTTTAACCAGGCTTAAATCTTTATCGCCTTTAATGACCTTCATAATGACCTTTCTTTTCGTCATGATAACCTTCATGATGACCTTTCTTTTCTCCATGATGACCTTCGTGATGACCTTCATGATGACCTTCGTTTCCTCCTTGATGACTTTCGTGATGGCCTTCCGGGTGGCGTTCGTGATTAGCTCCGTGTGTTCCTCCTCTCTTTATTTCTCTCTTATGT